CTATGTTATTCGGGCCTGATTTATGTCGAGCAGAAAGGTCCTCATTTATTTCTCTTCATGAAGTGAGGACCCAGCTTAATATGCATTCTATTTCGAGATTAGAAATTCTGGTTATACAGTTCCTTCCTGAATATTGACCTGTGCTATTCGTAATATAGAGTAGGGTGTTTTTCTGACAGTTATTTGTCGGTTCCCGTCCTCGCGAGATTAGACTAGTGCTCTTAGATTCCACATTTCATCGACTTCTATAGAGTGCATTATCTGTCGCGATCGATGGATTACACTCGAGCTTGAATATGGATTTGTGTTGGAAAGCTTGTTGGTATTTGTGGCTTGAATTCTAAGAGGACAGTTTAAGTTTTCTCCAGGGATTTCCTAAGAAAAGTGTTGTCGTGTTTAGTGGTGTCATGGTTGCGAGTAAATCATCGGAATTTTCTAATCATGGTGTAAGGGAGTGGAAGGTATACTTGAACACAATTCCGATCGAATGAGGAAAGAAAAATGTCATCTCGCTTCGATGCTCAACTAATCGACATATCTATTCGGACCGACTTGTGTGGGAGATTGCATAACTACATGCAAACATGCTAATGATATAACAGACCACGTCGAACAGAGAGCACCGTAAACCCCACCATTAAAAATACCAACAAGAATGAATAAGACGCATCGCACCAGTTCGTAGTCTTTTCTCCCATCGAGAAGAAAACCTTGTGCAATGTATGAGAATAGACTATAGGCCGCCAGAACGACGTTATGATCTGCTAATTGGAGTGATAATCCACACAGAGTGGCCACTGCGAACTGTACTGCAATGTACGACTTTACACCAACAGAAGCGTTCGTGCTACGAGTCAAACGAGGCAGACGAGGAGCTGGGGGGCAGACTCGAGCAGCAGTAGTGGTGTAGTATCTTCGGAAAATGTCATGAGGCTGGCAAATAAGGGTCGCTCACCCAGGGCCCTTCCACCATGATCTCGACTGACGTTTGAATACTTCTAACTGGAGAACGCTGTCAACCCAGGAGTTTGCAGGGATGGTCCAGCCATAAACGCAAGCTGTTTGCGCCGGTTCCTCGAGATATGTGCCTATACCGGGTTCCTTAGATATTCCACGTGTGGTGCGAGCTGACTACCGAATAATCTGTCGAACACCACCAGCGTCCCACCAAAATTCTTGTGGAGGCGCCTATCATGGTGAATACGGTGATTGGAAGGCGTCATCATAATGCCCTCTATAGGCCATGGGAGAG